CAAATGTTACAATCAATACTATCCGGAGTTCACTTATAAAAGCTCTCTCCCAAGGCAGCTGAATATGGAGTGGGATACACAACCTTGCAGGTTTCTCCAGACTGGGAATCCTTTTGAAAACACTGTGAAATGAACAGAAAGCATGCCAGCAGAATGTAAGATTCTCAAAAACTTTTATTTATTTTAATTTCTTGTAGTCACCAAAACACTTGATGTACACAAGTATCACAAATCCTTCATAAAATACAAAATCTCTCTGACCAACAGGCACACATGGTCAATGCATCACCGTTAATGTAAGCACTGCCTGAATCTTGCATCCTAGCGTACGCATTTCAAGGAGTACTGTCTTCATTAGAGCCAACTCTCCCATACTGGTAATAACTTTAAAGCTTGAGCCAAGCTGGCTCAAAAGAACTGTTCCCTACACTAACATGGTGTTCCAGGTGTGAGACGAGACCTTCCGGTCTTACACTAGGAACAAAATAGCGTCAGGCTGAGCATCGTATTCTATCAATGAACACAAAGAAAGGTGGGCCGATGACATCATGATCTCCATCTCATCCAACCAGAGGAATCTTTGGGGTTGATTTACTAAAGGCAAATAGACTTTGCAAGGGCATTTCCTTCGGAGCTTAGTAAATGAGGTGAAGTGCCACTTTGTAAAGAATACTCAATGACATGCGAGGAAAATAACATTTTAAAAACAGCATTTTTTGCTTCCACGAGATTGGATGTTGGAAGTCAGAAGAGCTCCTCCTCATTTACTAAGCTCTGGAGCAAATTCCCTTGCAGAAAGCAAATGCACATGCAAAGTGCACAGTCTATTTACCTTTAGTAAGCCCTGGTTCACAATGTGTGGGCTGGTTGCAAGTGCAGAATTTGCATCTGTTCCCACACCCGCAAGCACCTGCAGCTAAATTGCGTTGCAGTTACGAGATGCACGAGGCTGCCATTAATCCTAAATGGCACCCCCACACATCTCAGCCCTCGGCGTGTCAAAAAGACTATGTGATTTCCCTGCGACCTTTTTTTAAAAAGATGCAGAAAGTGCAAACACAGCAGACCATTCAAATAAATGGGCTGGTGTGCCCCTGCAAACGTGGACCGCACAATTGTGAACCAGGGCTTTATCAACCCCCTTGTATTCCTTGATTCACTGATAGAGTACAAAGATGCCTATGAGTGCCACTCAGCCCAATGCTATTTTGTTCTGGGTGTGGGACAGGAAGGTCTCGTCTCACACCCGGAACACAGTGCTGTATACAATATGTAGCTGAGGCTACATACAGTTTATACAGTATATGTTACTGTAGGGAATAGCTTGGGGATTCTGGGCAGACCTCCACTGATTAATACATTGCGCATCATCTTTGCCCATCTGGTGAGTGCGCATTTTACCTATATGTTGCCACTCACAGAACCAGTTTGTCGATTAATACATTACCGGGAATAATTGTGTCACCTTGGGCCTCCATTGGATTTATGCTTTTATTATGGACTTTTAATATTTTATGATTATTATTTATTGAACATTTTATTAACCCATACCAGTATACCATTCACTATATGATTTTCTAGCGCTGCACTATTTTATATAAAGCTGGATATCAGCTTCAATTTAGTGAAGTTTAAATAGTATGTTTGGACCAAGCCGAGATGGAGATCGTGACGTCATCCATCAGCCTCGGCCAATCAGAGGAAGCTTTGTATTCATTCACAAAATTCAAGTCTCCCTGTGAATGGCTGAGAAACTGCAGACAAAACACAAGAGACGGTTATGGACTGCAGACATGACACAAGAGACGGTTATGGACTGCAGACATGACACAAGAGACGGTTATGGACTGCAGACATGACACAAGAGACGGTTATGGACTGCAGACATGACACAAGAGACGGTTATGGACTGCAGACATGACACAAGAGACGGTTAGGGACTGCAGACATGACACAAAGAGACGGATAGGGACTAAAGACATGACACAAGAAGATGGACTGCAGGATAGGGACTAAAGACATGACACAAGAGACGGATAGGGACTGCAGACATGACACAAGAGACGGATAGGGACTGCAGACATGACACAAGAGACGGATAGGGACTGCAGACATGACACAAGAGACGGATAGGGACTGCAGACATGACACAACGAGACGGATAGGGACTGCAGACATGACACAAAGACGGTTAGGGACTGCAGACATGACACAAGAGACGGTTAGGGACTGCAGACATGACACAAGAGACGGTTAGGGACTGCAGACATGACACAAGAGACGGTTATGGACTGCAGACATGACACAAGAGACGGTTATGGACTGCAGACATGACACAAGAGACGGTTATGGACTGCAGACATGACACAAGAGACGGTTATGGACTGCAGACATGACACAAGAGACGGTTAGGGACTGCAGACATGACACAAGAGACGGTTATGGACTGCAGACATGACACAAGAGACGGATAGGGACTGCAGACATGACACAAGAGACGGATAGGGACTGCAGACATGACACAAGAGACGGTTATGGACTGCAGACATGACACAAGAGAGACGGTTATGGACTGCAGACATGACAAGAGACGGTTAGGGACTGCAGACATGATACAAGTGAGACGGTTAGGGACTGCAGACATGATACAAGTGATGGTCAGAGACTGCGGACATGATACAAGTGATGGTCAGAGACTGCAGACATGATACAAGTGATGGTCAGAGACTGCAGACATGATACAAGTGATGGTCAGAGACTGCAGACATGATACAAGTGATGGTCAGAGACTGCAGACATGATACAAGTGATGGTCAGAGACTGCAGACATGATACAAGTGATGGTCAGAGAGTGCAAACATGATACAAGAGATGGTCAAAGACTGCGGACATGATACAAGTGATGGTCAGAGAGTGCAAACATGATACAAGAGATGGTCAAAGACTGCAGACATGATACAAGTGATGGTCAGAGAGTGTCAGACATGATACAAGTGATGGTCAGAGACGTCAGACATGATACAAGTGATGGTCAGAGACTGCAGACATGATACAAGTGATGGTCAGAGACTGCAGACATGATAACAAGTGATGGTCAGAGACTGCAGACATGATAAAAGTGATGGTCAGAGACTGCAGACATGATAAAAGTGATGGTCAGAGACTGCAGACATGATACAAGTGATGGTCAGAGAGTGCAAACATGATACAAGAGATGGTCAAAGACTGCGGACATGATACAAGTGATGGTCAGAGAGTGCAAACATGATACAAGAGATGGTTAAAGAGACATGATACAGTGACATGATACAAGTGATGGTCAGAGACTGCGGACATGATACAAGTGATGGTCAAAGACTGCGGACATGATACAAGTGATGGTCAGAGACTGCGGACATGATAGAAGAGATATTCAGAGACTAGATATAAAACTAGAGATTGTCAGAGCGAACTCAGAAATCTTTTAGTGCTGCTCCAAGCCTGAGGTATAATGTACTGCCCACTGGAGTTCAGGAATCGGGGGGGTTGGCATCCTTTCACTCATCCAGAAGTGCCGACGTGTTTAAAAAATGTGTGATGCCACTTACCCAGCCCAGTATATACAAGTGTAGGTAATGGCCTCTGCCCAAGCCACTGCTGATCTATATGACTAAGCTCTGGTGGGTGGGGTAAAATGCATTAGTGGGTGTGGCCAGTGAAGTGGTGCTGGCTGAGGCTATTACCTACACTTGTATGCACTAAGAGATGGTCGGAGACTGCAGACACGGTACAGAAGACAGTCGGGCTGCAGAAAGAATACAAGAGATGGTCGGAGACTGCAGACACGGTACAGGAGACAGTCGGGCTGCAGAAAGAATACAAGAGATGGTCGGAGACTGCAGACACGGTACAGGAGACAGTCGGGCTGCAGAAAGAATACAAGAGATGGTTAGAGACTGCGTTTATGCTGCAGGAGACTATCAGAGCCTGTGAACAACCTATAGGAGCTATTGGGGTCTGGGGACATGCTCCATGAGACATATGAGAAAGCTGCTGCAAAAGTGATTGCAGAGCTCAATCTCAGTCTTCACAGGACTGCGATTGAGCTGTGCAGTTGTTTTCCTATTCCGGGTCACAACCCTGTGCAATGTCTTCTTGTCCCTTTCGGTCAGCTGACCATGTCGACCACGCTTATTAGACGTTTTCCCAGAAACTGCACATACCGCCATAACATCTGATCCTGCACCTTGCGACACCCCAAATAAATTGACAACTTCAGTCACAGAGGCACCAGCTAAGCGGCACCAAGAATCAGCCCTCTTTGATGCTTAGTAAGCTCTGACATGACTCCGTATTCCTAGCAGCGCACATAGTGAATGATGAAATTGAGGCCTCCCACCTGTTAGCTAGGTGTCTCATCACACAGCGGAAACAAAAGAATGTTCCATCACCTCCTCTTTCAATGCAAAGCATGTTGTCACTTTCACACCTGCAAATCATGTAGTGTTCCCATCAGGGGCGGACTGACCATTTAGCCACTGGGGTACTGCCCGAGGGCCCGGGGTCAGTAGGGGGCCCCATGGGATGCCCCTGGTACTTTTCATAGGCTTTTTTGGGTGTGGTTTGAGTGTGGGCAAGGACACAGGGGCCCCATGATTTCCTATTGCCCGGGGGCCCCATGAGTTGTCAGTCCGCCCCTGGTTCCCATATTTTTCTCTAACCCCGGTAACTCATGTGTGGAGTGGGGCAGGGTAGACGTGAGCCCTGACATCACAGCGACCATGTGTTCTGGGTTCCTAGCTGGTGTAGAACTACAAGTCCCAGCACAACCAACCTGCAGGCTCCATGTCACCCACATTTCGAAGGCTGAGGTCTCCACATTGTCCGAACATCCCAGGAACCGCCTATCCCAGCATGTCCCCCTCCTCCACACCATCCTTGTCACCACAGCAACCGCAGTACACCGAGCTCCACATAATGTCACTTCCGCTCACCGACTTCCGGCTGGGCCTGGAGACAAGATGGCGGCGTCCGGAGAACCTGTACGGCTGGAGAGAGGTGAGCTGTCATTAGTCATCCCAGTGACCGTACTCACTTCCACCGGGGATCTGTGAGACATCTTCCCGTGTACTAGAGGGGGAGGGACACCCAGATACCGAGCCCGGAGAGAGGGGGGGAGGAGTGACAGTCCAGGATAGGAGGGGGGCAGGGGATGGTGAGGACAGGGATGACAGTCTGGGGAAGTAGGAGGACAGGGGTGTCAGGAGGAGGGGGAGAGTAGTGACAGTCCAGCATAGGAGGAGGGGTGACAGGAGAGTAGGAGGACAGGAGTGACAATCCAGCATAGGAGGAGAGGTGACGGGAGTGACAGTCCAGGGGGAGGAGGGGCACAGAGGTGACAGTCCAGCGAAGGGGGTGGACAGGGGTGACAGTCCAGGATAGTAGGAGGACAGGAGTGACAATCCAAAGGAGGAAGGGGACAGAGGTAACAGTCCAAGGGAGGAGAGGGACTGGGTTGATAATCCAGGGGGAGGAGAGGTGACAGGAGAATAGGACGATAGGGGGGAGGGAGACAGAGGTGACAGTCCAGAGGAGAAAGGGGGTAGGGGTGACAGTCCAGGATAAAAGGAGGGGTGACAGGAGAGTAGGAGGACAGAAGTGACAGTCGGGGGTGGGGGAGAGGAAAGAGTTGCCAGTCCAGGGGAAGACTGGGGTAGGGGCACAGGAGTGACAGTCCGGGAGGGGAGCAGGGGTGATAATCCAGGATAGAAGGAGGGGTGACAGGAGAGTAGTAGGCCCAGGTAACAGATCCAGGGGAGGAGTGGGACACGGGTGACAGTCCAGGGGTGGAGGGGCGCAGGGGGTGACAGTCCGGGGGGAAGAAGGGAGACAGAGGTGACAGTCTGGAGGGGGATAGGGGGGACAGGAGAGTAGGGGGACAGAAGTGACAGTCGGGGGTAGGGGTGGACAGGGTTAGGGGCACTGGGGTGACAGTCGGGGGGGGGGGGGCACAAGGGTGACAATCCAGGATAGGAGGAGGGTGACCGGAGAGTAGAAGGCACAGGTAACAGGTCCAGGGGAGGAATGTGACAAGGGGACGGGGGTGACAGGAGAGTAGGGGGACAGGAGTTACAGTCCAGGGGAGGAGGGGGACAGGGGTGACAGATCAGGAGGAGGACAGGTGATGGTGGGGACAGGAGAGGACAGGGGTGACAGTCCAGGAGGGGAGGGAGACAGGGGTGACAGTCCGGAGGGGAGGGAGACAGGGGTGACAGTCCGGAGGGGTCCAGGGGGACGGGGGTGACAGTCCAGGGGAGGGAGGGGGGGGACAGGGGTGACGGATCAAGAGGAGGACAGACGATGGTGGTGACAGGAGAGGGGTGACAGTCTGGGGAAGTAGGAGGACAGGGGTGTCAGGAGGAGGGGGATAGAGGTGACAGGAATGGAGTTGGACAGAAGGGACATTCCAGGGAAGACAGCAGAGGAGGGGGACGGGGGTGTCCTGTGAAGTGCTATGACAGTCATATCTATGTGAGAAGGGGAGGGACGTGTCATTCTTCTGTTGGATTTTTCCTGGTCAGATATTGAGGGGTGTCTTGGAGGACCTCCCTCTAAACCAAGATCTATGTACTGATATGGCGTAGTGTACTGTCCTGTATGCCAACAATCAAACTCCTCAATTACCCACCACATGACAAGTGATCCCAAAATACAGAATCTATTTATCAACCACATTTCTGTCTGTAGTGTTCTATAGAACATTCTTTTGTTCTGCTGATTCTATCTGTACACGAATGTACACCAGCTAACAGTTCTGTCCCCTTGCTGTACAATTAAGTAGAACTATGGCCTCCCTAATATTTGATTCTATCTTTTCATGTGAACACTGAAGAAATGACACTTTGCTACAATGTGACGTAGTGAGTGTACAGCTTGTATAACATGTAAATTTGCTGTCCCCTCAAAATAACTCAACACACAGCCATTAATGTCTAAACCGCTGGCAACAAAAGTGAGTACACCCCTGAGTGAAAATGTCCAAATTGGGCCCACTTAGCCATTTTCCTTCCCCGGTGTCATGTGACACGTTAGTGTTACAAGGTCTCAGGTGTGAATGTGGAGCAGGTGTGTTAAATTTGGTTTTATCACTCTCACATATTGGTCACTGGAAGTTCAACATTGCACCTCATGGCAAAGAACTCTCTGAGGATCTAAAAAAAAAAAAAAGAATTGTTGCTCTACATAATGGTGGCCTAGGCTATAAGAAGATTGCCAAGACCCTGAAACTGAGCTGCAGCACAGTGGCCAAGACCATACAGCGGTTTAACAGGACAGATTCCACTCAGAACAGGCCTCGCCATGGTCGACCAAAGGAATTCAGTGCACGTGCTCAGCGTTGTGTCCAGAGGCTGTCTTTGGGAACTAGATGAGTGCTGCCACCATTGCTGCAGAGGTTGAAGGGGTGGGGGACCAGCCTGTCAGTGCTCAGACCATACGCCACACACTGCATCAAATTGGTCTGCATGGCTGTCATCCCAGAAGGAAGCCTCTTCTAAAGATGATGGACAAGAAAGCCCGCAATCAGTTTGCTGAAGACAAGCAGACTAAGGACATAAATTACTGGAACCGTCTCCTGTGGTCTGATGAGACCAAGATAAACTGATTTGGTTCAGATGGTGTCTATCGTGTGTGGCGGCAACCAGGTGAGGAGTACAAAGGCAAGTGTGTCTTGCCTACAGCCAAGCATGGTGGTGGGAGTGTCATGGTCTGGGGTTGCATGAGTGCTGTCGGCACTGGGGAGCTACAGTTCATTGAGGGAACCATGAATGCCAACATGTACTGTGACATACTGAAGCAGAGCATGATCTCCTCCCTTCGAAGACTGGACCACAGGGCAGTATTCCAACATAACGACCCAAAATATACCTCCAAGACGACCACTGCCTACTAAAGAAGCTGAGGGTAAAGGTAATGGACTGGCCAAGCATGTCTCCAGACCTAAACCCTATTGAGCATCTGTGGGGCATCCTCAAATGGAAGGTGGAGGAGCGCAAGGTCTCTAACATCCACCAGCTCCGTGATGTCATCATGGAGGAGTGGAAGAGGACTCCAGTGGCAACCTGTGAAGGTCTGGTGAACTCCATGCCCAAGAGGGTTAAGGCAGTGCTGGAAAATAATGGTGGCCACACAAAATATTGACACTTTGGGCCCAATTTGGACATTTTCCCTTAGGGGTGTACTCACTTTTGTTGCCAGTGGTTTAGACATTAATGGCTGTGTGTTGAGTTATTTTGAGGGGACAGCAAATTTACACTGTTATACAAGCTGTACACTCACTACTTTACATTGTAGCAAAGTGTCATTTCTTCAGTATTGTCACTTGAAAAGATATACAATATTTACAAAAATGTGAGGGGTGACTCACTTCTGGGATATACTGTACTGTACATGAGCTGCACTACTTAATGGAGAGTTCATCTGCACTTACAGTTTTCCTCCTGAAAAGTCTCACAAATACCTGTTGATCCTGCCAGTGAGGTCCACTTAATGCAGCTTCCTGTGATGGGGTGACAACTGCTCCTGAATTCAGAGTGGAGTTGCCATTCTCTGGTAAACTTGGAAATAACTTGTGAGATCACAGACTCTCTACACCAGTGTTTCACAACCTTTTTCCAGTCGGGGAGCCCCTGAAAAGTATTTTCAGTCACGAGGCACCCCTGTCCAAGGCTTGGTTCACGTTACAGTGTGCCGCAGAACGCATGCGAAATCGCACTCATTCCTGACTGCAGATAAATGCTCTGCTCTTTAGGGTTACCCCGATACATTGGCAAACACAGGGTGTTTTTGGTGTGGTGCAATTTTAAAACTAAGGTCATGGATGACTTTCCCTGCATTTGTGTAAGTAGGGCAGCCCATTGAAATGAATGGGCTGCCCTACACACAGCCACACAGATATGAACCAAGGGCCTGTTCACCTGTGAGGTTGGAGGGTGGTAAAACCACGCAATTGATCTGCTTTTAACACCCCCAACTGCTACCGCTTTAGCTGCAGAAACAGCAGCTGGGGCTATACACATGCTGTTGCTGCAGCTGGAAGTATACCTCCAGGTGAATGGGGTTGAACTTCAACCACCCCGCAACTGTGTGCGCATTGCACGTGGTTGTGGTGATTGATGCTGCTTTTTTACGGGGTTAAGCTAGATGGTGAGGAGGCAACATATTGCCTCTTTACCACCTGTTAAATGCCTCTGAAGAGTGATCTGAGCATGTATTGCTTTTCAGAGGAGTAGCAGTCCTTGCTGCTATTACGAACAAGTCCTAAAAAAGCAGTTCTGAAAGGACAGAAATAAGGGGTCAAGATTAAAAGTAAAATACACACACACATGTACACACACACACGTACACACACATATGTACACATACACACATACACATTCACACAGTATTAAGAAACATTACAGTACCTTAGCTTCCATCACACAGCCAGGTACTGCAGTCTACGGGGAAGCAGAGAGCACAGAAGACACCCCTTCCCTTTGCTTTCACTTTGCTGAGTGTGTGACGGCTCCCAGTGCTGACTTACAGTACGGCTGGGGATCGGCAGCTCGGCTTCAAGTGACAGCCATTCTCGCCACTGCACCCCTGAAGAACTCTTGTGCCACCCTGGTTGAGAAAGGCTACTCTACACCTACCAGTAGACATACTTTGCCCTTTGCTGTTCCAAAAGGGCAGTTCAGTCACATGTCAATCAGACTGTCAGAGTTAATGGGTGGGAACTGACATGCTGCAAGTTGAAGGGAAGGACCTCCAAGGTGATATTCTCTGAAGTATTACCTGTGCCATGTGCAACTCAGGAAAGACGGGGAGATTAGAGAACTCAATGCATGGCTGAAAACCTGGTGTAAAAGGGAAGGATTTGGATTTCTAGAGCATTGGGGTGCAACCTATATGCTAGAGATGGTCTGCACCTAAATGGAAGGGGGTCTGCTGTGCTAGGGGAGAGGTTTATGGGAAGGCTGGAGGAGTATTTAAACTAGGATCAAGACGGGAGGGAGAAT